ATACCTTCCATATGAAGTGTCAGCCAACACAAATACTTTCTTTCCAGTGTTTTTCTCAATCAATGAAGCAACAGCTGCAGAGTCAATTAACAGTGAGTCCGGAAACTGGAGAGCGACCTGAGAAAAAAGAACTAAAGATTAGATTGTGTAGGTTAAGTCCAGTATATATAGAAGAAATATACGTATTAAGGGAATATCCTGTGATAAAATCCATGCTAGATAAGCTGTACTTTTATGATTAATTATGAATAGAACAGGCTCATGCGAGTTGTAGACAAAGTGACGACCAAACGAAGATAATTTATATTTTGGAATAAATCAAAATACTCGAATGATATTTTTCTTCTCCTTACAGTATTTTCTAAAAGACGTAGAAAAACTTTTCTCTGTGTTTATGTCGATCAGTTACAGAAAGTTTGGAAGAACTGAAATAAACTCGTGATCACCTTCTCAAAACCACGACTTTTTATGACATCCACGCATCTCGAAATTTCATAAAAATCACTGATGTCTTTCCTTGTATCTAGAGCATCGGTAGAGGCATCTAATTTTCTTTCAATGACTTCTCTCTCGCCGCCACTAAACTGCACCACAGATGCCTTTTCGGCTTCGGCCATTTTGTTTTTAGAAAGCTTCCGCTGACCGAGTTTTGGTGGACCAGTCTACCTAGTCCCGAATCCGCGGGCGGAATCCCGCGCGTACCAGCGCGTCCCGAGTCCCCTGTCTGTTGCAAGCGAGGCACGCTAGACTTCAATCACGCAAATTAAAAGTCAGATGCGGGATAGGACTATGCCGACTATGTAATGAGAAAAATTGCACTTGGGGACTAAATTTGAAATTATGAGCCCCTGAGAGACAAGTTGAGAGAGGACAGGGAACTGAATTTGATCTCTTGCGCACGTCACGAAAGCGTTTCTAGGACTCGATGGGAAAGTAGGTTCACAAAGGAAAATGTTCTTCCAAAAGGCTTTTGCAGCGAAAAAAAGAGACACTCTTTTTTTTATCTAGGTTTCCGTTCAACTTTGGAACAGCTGCTCAGTAATAGGGGATAAGTTGTTTGAATTGCCTGAAACGTAAACAACAAGTCACACAAGGAAATTATATGAATATGAAATCAACGAGTCTGCACAAAAAAGCTTTTATAGCATCAATGAGATCTTTTATGTGTTGCGATTGGTCAATAATTTTATATCTGCGCGCAGATGATTTAATAACAAGTAGATTACAAAAATTTCATTCTTGTTCCCTGAGTGAAATGAACCGAGTCACGAATCAAATAAAAAGCAATTAAAACGTGTAAATATATTGACCGTAAATGATGGACCGGAAAATACTTAACAGATCTTGTGTACTTTGCATACACGCAACCAGTCTAAAAAACACGAAAAGCGCGGCCAGAATCAGGATAGAACGTTTTTTCTTCTAAGAGAAAATTAGAATAAGTAGTCCGACAGACAAAAGCGCAGCATTGACCAGAAAAACAAATGGGAAGAAACATTTACGTTTCACGCTTTTTTCTCTGTGATTAAAAATGTGTTCCCTTGGAGCAGAATACAGGAGGTTATGTTCGCAGGGAAGCACATAAATATGGAACTCAACATGATGGCATTTTGCTACCAATTTATTTTTCTTGCACTGAGCCTCTATGCCTTTAACACCCCAAAACACACAACAAACCCAACAACTTTCCTTTCGCCGCACCTGTTATGGATCTCCACCTGTTGGGCCTTTGTTTGGTTCGTTCGTTCCCGTTTATGTCCCTTCCCCTGCCCCCACCCCTCCCCCCGATCAGATTCGAGGTAATAAACAGTGGGTAAAAGAGACTATATATATGACAGAAGAGGTTGTTAAAAATAACCGATGAAACTACAGATAACTGTACTGATTGACCATGACAATATGCCGATATCTTCCCTGTTTAATTATTTTTATCAGGCGAACAGGCAACGACTGCATGCATAGCTCAGTTCTGTAGTTGAAAGAATGAACATTCGAGACTTGTTTCAAAACGTAAGACGCGGTAACTTGTTTAATTAGAAAGGCCGCCACAAAATCTGCAAGGAAAGTACTTCCCCTATGTAGATAACAACAAAAGCGGAAGATATCAACAGGCACTTGGGGTTTCTTCGCTTATGCATTTGAAAAGCTACCCTGGGAGCAGATATTGGCAGGTTAACAAAAGTTTGCGGATTTTTCCGTTTGAGTAGTTATACAGGTATTATAATTTGTCGGACTTTGCACTTCTAATAGATAAATTGATTAAAAAATTTATTGGCTAGGAACTGCATGGTATCACAAAATCTGCGCGAAATGGGTTTAATAAATTACAATGCAGCATTTTGAAACCCGGCATATGTTTCAGTTCAGTCTTAAATCTATCCGTCTTGTCATTAAGCTCTACTGGAAATTGAAAATTCGTCCGCGAAAAAAGCCCCTTGACTTAAATTGCCAGAGGCCGTCCCGAGTCAGGCTTAGCAAGTCTAATTGACATCTGCTCATCACCTGTTGAATTGAGTTGGTTGGTTCGGATTATGAATAATTCTCAAACATTCAACAGGTACTGATCAACAGCTCCATAATTTATCAGCAGTCCTGCTGGCTTGAGATCTGCATGGCTGCAGGTAGACAATTCGAAAGCCGCTGTGACAACACTTGTATACTACCACATAATAATAACTTGTTATTTCTGTGTATCATCTGTTGGAAAACCGGTTAACAGCAGGTTTATTTTTCGCCGTACATAAGCACATTGGTCGTTTCTGCTTTTTCATCGATCGCGTAAAGAAACTCAATTCGGGTAGTTTTACTGTCCGTACGAATTTTTACAATCCCTTTGTAGTATGGATATTTTGGGTTCTCACAAAAAGAACGAGGAAGGACTATTCTAGGATACTATGATCTTATTCAGAAAGTGACTATAATTTTTTTTAGCACTTCACATAACAGGCTCTAGTCTTTCATTTTATCATTATAGCCGAAAGAGAACATAATCGTGTGCAATGAAGTAAATTTTGTCAGTCAACCGAAAATAGACTTTCAAG